CAAAATCGAGTTTTTGCCCGGACACTGCCTTTAAACCTCTTTTTCGCCATTTTCGTGCTCCCCAGTGTGGATAATCGGATTCAGCGTAGCGAAAGAGCCCGAATAAGCATAAAATCTTAGAATCGACTTTTTGCGAGGACACTGCCTTTAGAGGCAGTGTCCAGGCAAATTTTCGACTTCCTATTTTTGTTATCCAGGCCTTTTCAAGGCGCTGATTCTGAATATGGCACTCAAAAAGCGTGTATTCCTCAAAAAACCACCTTTTTGGGGCTATTGTGAGAAAACCCGGACGAGCGCTTTTGATGCCAACATGTCGGAAGCAAGCATTAACAGGTAAACGCTATGATGAGCGTAAGATACGATAAGCAGATAAGCACAAAATCTCAAAATCCACTTCTTGGCCGGACACTGCCTTTCAAGCGTCTGAACCTACACGTTTGCAGCCGCCAATGAAACACAGAATCCAAGGGAAGTTTGTAGTCCTTTACTTATACAGAAATACCAAAAGATACCTCTTCCGGGCGCATTACCCAGCCAGCAGCGGCATCCAGCTTCGAGGGCGTCCAGTAGGTGTAAGGATTGGCATTGTCTGGTGAGTAGTATGAAACCTGAACATCTACTTTGCACTTTTATAGATGATCAGTGTGTATCTGATTTGACCTCGGTGTCTTTGGGTTCGACTTCTCCTATTCGCGCTTCGATGTTATTGGGTTTTAGTATCACGTCTTGTATAAACTCACTGTAGGGACGTGAGCTGATCTAAAATTTAGAGTGAGAATTGTGACCATTTTTCGCGTGCAAAATCATCATCTTTTTATTGGACTACCTGCTCTATGATCCTTCCTAGCATCACGTAACCAATGTTTGAGTATGAATACCTCGTTCCTGGCTGGAACTTGGGATCGTACGATTTGATGTAGAAGTCAATCAATGTCGTTCCGTTTAGTTGTTTGCTGAATTCTCGAAAACCAGCTCATGTTTTTCATCATTCTCTTGGAATCAACTCTTCCCTTCGCCGGGTCCTTCTATCCTTCCACCCACCAAATCTTCCAAAAAGGAAAGATGAGTTAGAAGTGTTCAATTTTACCAGCTGACAACTTCGTCGAAAATCTTATCAATATCGAATAAAACATTTTTTGATTCATAAAATCAGACTGGTCGCGCAATGGTCCCATGTGTTCTCAGTTCTGACCCTGGTAATCTAGCATCTCTCTACACTGACGAATGGGAGTTGTAATTTTGTTGTTTTTCTCGCTTTTACGATGGCTCTCGTAAAGCGAACAATAATGTCGTTTCTAGCAAGATTTCCTGATTAGCTTGTGATAGTATAAAGGGAGAAAATCAAAAACGAAGTGCATGCTCGAAGTTATTGACATACATTGCAAAATTTGCATTGTAGCGAGGAAGACGAAAACTTACAATTTTACTCATCGTGAATCTAAACTGGGATAGATCTGGGTAAAATTTTAAAAACGCTAGAACATGAGGGCTAGAGTTTAAAGGCAGTGTCCACCCAAAAGGTCAATTTTGAGATT